TCTCAGAACCAAGGATCGAAATACTGACTCCCTGAACATGAATGAGAGCTTGGCAATTAACTTTAATGGTGCGAGGCTTTTCTTTTCACACTGGTGGGAGAAATTGTGTGTCTTCCACAAGTGCCTATATTTTGTATGAGTAATGACGCCACTTGCAGAGAGCTGTGAGTATTCTACAGTTGTAAAAATGCAATCATTTTTATTATGGGTTCTAAAAACACTTTGGTGTCTAATTTTAGATACTTAAATTTGAAAAATGGTGGCTGTCATATCTGTGCTTCTGTTGTAGGAACAAATTCATTAGCATTTGCCAAGTGCTTTTACTAAATGTTTGAATGGCAGCAGTACAAAAAATGTAAAACTTTATTATCCATACAAATATCTTCACAGCACGCATGTCCATTGCTGCTTTAAGCTTTGTTTCATTTCCAGCTAGTGCCGGAAATGTAGAAAACACACTTTGTCAGCAACTACTACGTAATACCAGTAGCCTTTCATCTGCTAGCAACACTGAAGCAGATCTACATGAAGTTTTTGAGGTCCAAGCTATTATGCAGTTCAAAAGAAAAAATAAAGTGGTGAACAAATGTGAGGTTAAATGAAGGGTTCGGACAAGTCTGTGTTCTGTTTGCCTCAACTGCCTGCAGCCTAAGGAAGCGTGTAAGAACACGGCAAAATGCACAGCTGATGTGCTCCCCATGCCTCCAGTGATTTGTGGCTCAAGGTGCCAATATGGTAGGAGAAGTGACATTCAATCATTTTATTTTCACTACATCTTCTAAACAGTCACCTGTTTAGGAAAATCAATCTAAAAATACTATAGTTCAGAGACAAAAGATGTCAGTACTTCCAGTCTGCTCATCAGCACTGGCTTCAGAATACCATACTTCACAAGCAGGTACTTCAGCACACCCAAACTTCACGAGAGATACCGGTCTGTCTGTCCAAGGTTAGACCGCAGGAACCTGCAACTTCCACAAGTATTATGAAGGAGAATTCCTTTTTTTAATTATTTCTTTTTTTTTTCCTCTTTTTTTTTTAAAGATATCTGCATTGCATTTTTTGGAGCAATGGCTTATAGCCTCAGGGCATAAGTGACCTAGGAAGCAAGCCAGCTGCTTATAAGAGTAGGCTGACTTGTTTTCTTTCTCAGATTACGGGGGACCTCTGTTCTCCACTAAGGGAAACAAAACGCTTTATAGCCCAGTTTCTAAAGAATTTAGGTTCCTGATTTCTTTGTTAACAAGCCAAATGCATTCTAGGCAATGATGAAAATGTGAGGATCAAAATATATTCCATGTGTCTGCTGCTGCTCTGCTCTACACGCAGAATATTTGTGCCCTTTGGTTACCAGTCCCACTGTGAAACCACCACTGACATCTCAAGAACTTCAACTGCTGCACCAGTGCAAAATTTTTGAACCTGACACATAACGACCACTGCTGCTTTAACATTTTCTGAATAACAAAGCAGAAACAATTGTATTCAATTAAGTGATGGGATACTGCTCCCTTGAAGCATAGTTAATACCAACGAGCAAGAATCACCGGTTCTTTAGGCCATGAGGTATACCAAGGCATCGCTCTTGAAGAAAATGGCAAAATTCTGTGTTGCAAAACTCTTCTGGAAGGCCACATGAAAACCTGTTCTCAGAATAAAGGAAGTTTAAACTTAGGAAATGCTTACAAAGAAAGATAGGAAGAGAATGCAACTTCTCTAACCAAAAGCGACCACAAGACAGCTAGCCAGCACTTCACATTCTCTCTGAAAGAAATAGTGTAAAAATACAAACATATTTCCACTTTGGCAGTCTGTTTCCAGCTCTTTTAAGGGATAGGGGATTCATTTTGCTCACTGATTGGACAACCTATATGGTCCATTTCATTTACGCAGCAAGTGGTCATCAACAACCTTTCTCCTCCTTTAGGGGTTTCAGTTTTTGCCAACACACAACACTGAAACATGAGATTCTTGGTGATAAGGATCAGCATTTTCTGAAAAAACAAACAAACAGTAACAAAAAAAAAAAAAAAAGAAGAATCAGACACCTAGCTTTCACATACCTCAGACTGAACGCCCCAAAGTTCAGACCTTCACAATCACTTGTTGATTCTGACCTTTCAAAGCTTAAAGGATGCTCTTCGGAAAAAGAGCATGCCTTACCATGAACGGAATTGCATCTCGGGCAGCTGCAGCAGAACTTCTTGCAAGTCACCTGCCTTGCATATTAAGTAATTGCTTACAATTTCAAACGTTCATAAAAGCAAAGAAACTTTGGAATACTTAAGTCAATAAGGTACTGGAAGTGAATGCAAATTTTTCACTTTAAAAGACACTATCCATAAGACAGACAAACTATGAACAAGAAATACTTGTATGATCCAAAAAGTGCAAGACTACATACTGTGCTATACAGGTGTCCTTCCCTGAGAGGAATGCCATTTTATTGTCACAAGTCCAGATGCTAAGGCTGAAACCAAAAGACCTTTACTATGCAGACAAGGCTTGTGCAAAGCATTTGACACTGTCTCGCACGACATCCTTGTCTCTAAATTGGAGCAACATGGATTTGATGGATGGATCACTGGGTGGATAAGGAATTGGCTGGATGGTCGTGCTCAAAGAGTTGCGGTCAATGGCTTGAGGTCCAAGTGGAGATCAGTGGAGTGGTGTTCCTCAGGGTTCGGTATTGTGATCAGCACTGTTTAACATCTTTGTTGGCGACACAGACAGTGGGATGGAGCGCACCCTCAGAAAGTTTGCCGATGACACCAAGCTGTGGGGTGTGGTTGATAAGATGGAGGGAAGGGATGCCATCCAGAGGGACCCGGACAGGCTTGTGAACCTCATGAAGTTCAACAAGGCCAAGTGCAAGGTCCTGCACACGGGTCGGGGCAATCCCAAGCACAGATACAGGCTGGGCGGAGAATGGATTGAGAGCAGCCCGGAGAAGGACTTGGGGATGCTGGTTCACGAGAAGTTCAACATGACCCGGCAATGAGCGCTGGTAGCCCAGAAAGCCAACCGTGTCCTGGGCTGCATCCCAAGCAGCGTGACCAGCAGGGCGAGGGAGGGGATTCTGCCCCTCTGCTCCGTTCTGGTGAGACCCCCCTGCAGTACTGCCTTCAGCTCTGGGGTCCTCAGCACAAGAAGGACATGGACCTGTTGGAGCAAGTCCAGAGGAGGC